GGCAAAGCACCAGATTTTCCAGATTGCACCAGCAACCCAAATGTATAAATGGGGCACCAAAAATCAAAATATGGGTAAATATAAGTTGCTTTATAACAGAATGCTGTGCTGGAATAAGACTGAGGATATTGGGGCTCTGGGCCCACAGATACTGGCCTCTGCAGTTGAAAACAATGCTGGAAGATGATAAAAGATCTTCAGCTGGGAGACTGGTAGGCTAAGCTATTGCCGACCATGGTTGTGAACCTTAGGTTTTTCTCATATCTTCTCAAACATTTCTAGAATAGGAATCTAGAATAAGACGCTCTTCCAGAGTTATCACAAAAAACAATGATCACAACTGAATTCGGAGAGCCCTGGTCCTAGAGCCTATGGTCTTGCAGAAATGACAAATACCCTATGTGATATTTAAATACCCTTCTATGCAATGGAATGTTGCTTTGGCCAACTTGAATAATTGAGAACTCAGGTGGAATGAAAACGAAAGAGACAGCGTGCCTCTCTCTGAACAGCAGTATCAGGTCCCGATTGCAACAGGTGAACCTGGCTTCCTGTATTGCAGGTTTCAGGATGATCAATAAACACTGTTCGCACCCTTAGGGAGGACAATTAAGATGCCGTTTCATTTAAGAAAGTGACAGCACCATCAAAAATCAAGTTTGAACAAGAACGACCAGTTTTTGTTTTTGTTTGAGCTTGTTGTTGAAATTGTTTTGTGATTTATTAGTTATTTTTAAATGCTGCTGCTGAAGAGACTGGGCCAACAGTACCACAGAAGCGAAGGCACTCCTACAGTATGTCTCAGAGCACTGCTAGAAACAGTTCAGCATTACCAGTGAAGAATGTGCGTAGCATGTAGGGAAGTACCAAAGACTCGTGGAAAGGCGTAAGTCAATGAGGAAAGGGAATTCTCTAATGATCCACGAAATGAGCTTTAGAAGTGGAGAAGTCCAGTTTGCTTTTCAGCATTTCGACATCCAGAATTACAGTAGCCTTGGCGAGCGACCTTCATCACACTTTTTCTGCCCCAAGGCAGATGACAACTCTTTGAGTGGTACAGGACATCATTTTGCAAAATGACGATGTGCACTCCAGTACAGTTCATACCATCTTATTCCATGCTTGGCCAACAGAGGGATGTCCCAGTTTAGATCTTCAGTGCTGGTAATGTGGTGCATCTCAGGGACATCCAACATCACGGTATTCTTAAGGCATCTAGAAATTTCTGAGACGGGGGGGGAAGGATATGCAAGGACACTACAAAACTCTTCCGTGCCTGTGAAGCACATTTTGTGGATTGTTCACAAATTCGCCTTACTAACTGACTAACCTTCACATCTTTTTTTTCCCCACTTTAACAGGGAATGGACATGCTTCATCATGCAGAAGAGGAAAAAAAGACATGTTATGCCAAAAGCTAGTGTGTAATTTTGCCGACGCCATTGTCATTTCTAGTAGGGGCTGCCTTTTGACTTGGAGGGCTGAAATGCTTTGGCCCAAATTCAGCTTCTAAAATCTCACAGTGGGGATAGTAAGATGAAGAAGGCAAATATTTTTATTTTACTATTCGTAGCAATCTGTACCGGGGTTCTGAGACTCAGTTCCTGGAGAGCTTTGTCCCTTCTGGTTTTTGTTACAAACTTGACAGTCGATAAAACAATTAATCTAATTATTTCCTACACTAAACATATTGAGAATTTAGCCTTGGGGCTTTTACAATTGATTATAGACAGACTTTGACTTTATTAAAGGCACAGTTACCTGTATATAACCTGGTTAGATGTATTACAGTTACACAGCTGGTCCCCTCCAGGGACTGAGCTTGACATCCCATGCACGATATGCAAAACGGATCTATGCAGATATATTTGGCAATATATATATATAAAAAGTCTAAAAAAATCCAAACGCCTCCTTTGTTATTGAGCAAAAATATTCAGTGTCTTAATACAACAGTTTTAATAGAAAAAAAGTCATCAAAAGCAAGCCCCGAGTAAACAGAACCTGTCTCTCGGGTATCACAGGCTTCTGTACCTGTGCTCTGGAAAACAAATTCTCTAACGCGAAAAAACTTGGGGACAAATGTTTTATCCAAGAGTCATTAAGATGAACCACCCTGAAATCATGAGATTATTCTAAATTTATGGGATAATTTCATTATCTTCAAATGATGAAGAAAATATTCATATGATGGTGTGGATCACGGCTGTTCAGGCCTGGTCCTGGAGGTTGTGTCTTGACCCTTTAAAGTCTTTAAATTAGTCAAGCTAAGCCAGTAATTAGATGGCGTGGCTGAAATGACTTGGGATGAAACGCTTCAGAACTGAAGTCCCTCCACAGGGCTAGAACTGGACAGCTCTGAAGTTAATTAAGCAAAGAGGACTCGAATCTCTGGCATACAAACACAAGACTGAAAAGAGTAGCAGAAGGATGTACAGATAAAAAAAAAACACCTTCAAACCTGAATACTTGTATCAGGTCCCCTCGTAATCTTCTCTGTTCAAGACTAAAATGTTTAATTCCTCCATCCTGTCTGTGTAGGACATGCCTTTAAGCCTGAAATGGGTGCTCTCCTCTGGACTGATTCCAGAGCAGCAATAAACTTTCAATATCATGCTGAATAAAGATGTTCAAAGTGAAAGTATTAATGTTTCCATGACTACACGGTCTTTTGAAACCAGCATCATCAACTTTCCATTTCCAAGAGGGTGATTATTAAAATACCGGGCTCTTCTGCATTGTACACATTTTGAACTCCCTGTCTGCACACTAAAAATGAAGGTTTGGCTGATTTCAGAATGCAATCTAAATGGTCATTTTTATCCTTTTGTCTTCTTGTATAACAGGAGAAAGCCAAAGCTTGTAATATACAAACATTTTAGCAGCTTTTTTCTTTCCACACTGCAAAGCACTGTTACACTACTACCCCCTCTCTCTCTCTCCAGCACAATGCTGTAACGTTTTAATAGTTTCTGCCTTGTGAGCCTCCTCGAAGGTCAAAAACCAAGAAGCAGAAAAGAAATGCCCCCTCCCCACCCACAAAAAAAACACCCTTAAGACTGACCACAAACAGAACAGATCTTTACTGTGATTTCACTCACAAAGAATACAAAACGCATATAAAAAAATAGGTGCGAGTGCCAGATCACTTAAACTGGAGAGGCTGCGATGCTGCCAGCTCCCCTGCAGGACAGAAACAGCCGTCTCCCTCGACTGCACTGCTCCGCCTCCCCTCCTAAAGAAGTAACCGGCTTTCTTCCGCGTGCTATTGGTGTGCTTAGTGTAACAAATGGTTATATTCAAAGGCATTTCTCGAGGTGCGTTTTAAGGTTCGCCGGAGCTTTGCTTGAGGTGACAGTCTACAGCAGTGTTCGATTCGGTTGGGACGCTGTCAGCGGCGGTGAGGGAGGGGGCTGGCTCTCGCAGCTCAAAGTAATTTTTATTCGGCGGGCCCCGTAGCCGAGAAGCTGTGTCCCCAGAAATGGAAAGTGCACAACTTCCTGTCGTAGCGTCGCCATGGAAATCTGGGGTAAAAAAAAACCGCCTCCCTCCCTCCCTCTCTCTCTCTCGGCAAAAACAAGGACACACAAACACTCTGCCCAAACACTTCAGGACAGGTCAGTCTCCAGTTTCTCGGGCCCCGGCTGACCGGTGCTGTCCTCGGCGGTATTCAGCGTGCTGATGTACTCTCTCAGCTCCGCCACTGTGTCCAGCAGGGCGGCTCTCTCCAGCTCCAAAGTGCGCACCGTCTGCTTGAGTTTGGCCTCGCTGGCCACCAGGTTCTCCACTCGGGCCTCCAGGCTGTGGATCTTTGCGTGAGCCATCTTGAGGGAAAGAAACCAAACCCGGATCAGCCTCTCTGGGTGAATCTCTTCACCTTAAAGTCAAGAATTTCAAACAAAAACGCAGGAGAAAAGACAAGCCTAGGACCTAAGTAAACAGGGTGGTGACCTTCGTCTGGCCTCGGTGACCTTAAAAGAAAATGAAGCGACTCTTCAGAGGATGCCCACTGTACGATGACACTGCTGCCATATCTAACAGAGCTGTCTAGATCTAGAATCATGAGTGTTACTAATAAAAAGCATGCTTAGTCTGTGTTTCTGTGCACTGTCGGTTTATCTGGGACAGATTCATCTAGCACTGAGTAAAAATCAAATTTGTACTACATGAATTCAAGTGTTACTTTCAGAACCAACTCCACCCTTGCAGCTGGTAATAATGAAGAACACATAATGCATACATTCGATACTAGGCCTCGGGACGTTTTCAGTTCGCTGTTTTATTGTATATAGTTCAACTGGAGACATCTGAATTGGGTAAAACCTCCAATACCTAATGAATACAGTATCTCCGGCTTATCTCAGACAACGCCTGTATCTGTTTCTGTACCATGGCCTTCAGCACGTTTTATAACATATAGTATTGGTAGGATTTTGACATGCTAATAAGCCACAAACTGCAGGAAACACTGATATTTCAGATGGCTGCTTTTACCATGAGCTTCTATGTGGTAAGACATCTGTGTATTTTTTGTTACTTCATTACAGTGTTAAAAACATTCTTCACGGAAAACTTTGTAATCGAACAGTAGAACACATCTGAACTAAACAGCAAACGTCGGTTTGCTCTGTTTGACTTCAAAAGCTCCTTGCAGGAAACAAAGTACAAATAGCTCGCTAAGGCTAAAGCTCTGGCTCAAATCTGTACACAAATTTGATTAAGTACGATAATGAGAACAGGCACATTGGAGGTTTGGATTGTTATTCTTCAAAAAACTCCAAGGATGGATTCAACTGAGCAGAAGCTAGTCTCTTTTCAGGTGTCGTAAGGCTTAGTTTGTTCTACAAGGCTGATGCTAGGATATTAGCATGTCCTTTCCCTCAAGCTTGCAGAACCCAAAATGGCTCAAATAGTTTCACTTTCATTACCAATGCCTGATACCAAAAAACACCTGGGATGAAAAGCTCTCCAAGCTGTTTCGGGTTCTCCGGTGGATGAGGGTGGGGGAAGTGCAGCCGGGGAAGAACAGGAAGCTATGTACTGTATGTGAAAATTCCGAATGACATGAAATGAAAGTGTGAATGAGGGGTGTTTGAAACGGGAAAGCAGCTGGTCTTTGTCTAATATTTGCACAAATCAAAACCTTTAGCACATTCCGTTTTCCCTTGTCTCCTTGTGCTTGAAAAAGGCTTACATCAGGGGTCCCAGACTCACTTCCTGGGCAGCTGTGTAACTTCTGGGTGTTGTTCCAAACTCAGTTGACTCAGTGTTTTTCAATTAGACATGCACAGGATTTTTAAAGGCCTTTTACTGCTGATTACATAAGACATTCACTGCTTTACCTATAACTCACTTCAGAGCCTTGTTAGATTATACTGTAAGTAGGCAGCTAAATAATTAGGCCAATTATGTAACAGACAACATGGGTGGAACAAAACCCAAAAGACACCAAAGCTCTCCGGGAAGTGACTTTCAGAGCCCTGGTTTACAGGACGAAACCAGCCCCCTTTCTCTGGTCCTGTCGCATCGATCTGCCAGGTCTGTGACTCCACTCTCGAACAGATGCACACAGACTTCATACCGCTCAGCTTACACCAAGCTGACTGGATGGCTGTATCCAGCTCCAGACTTGCTCCACTTGGCAGCACATCTCCAGAGCACCAGCCACAGCTGCAGCACATTGACGCTTATGGCAGACACCTCCACCTCTTCTAACCTGTAGCTCCTCCAAAAGGTCCAGGTTTTGCTGCCGCAGGCTGCTGTTGGTCTTCTCCAGCTTCTCCATCTTCTGGTTGTCGCTCAGGGGTAGCGGCGAGTCCATTAGCTCATCCTGTAGGACGTGGTACTCCACCTCGTAGGCCTGGAGCTGCTTGGAGATGTCCATCTCAAACACCTGATGACAACGCAGCACACGCCATGGGTGACTACTTGAGAACACCTGTTGGATTTACTGTGTACCTCTCCAAACACAATGTCCCTTGGATGGAAGAACCAAACGAGTTTTTATTTGGAAGGAGTTTCTAGGAATACCCATTATATTTTAAATAAAAATAGTATTAAATATATTGCTTTTCTGCTTTGTTGTTACAGTTTGTACATGAGCCTGCTGTTGAATCCCTTTTCCCAGTAATTATACCAGGAAGCATAGTTGAGAAATAAAGCACATACAACACATACTGCATGATGAAATGACCCCATGATTAACTTTAGGCCACATCTTCAATATGTGGAGTGTTTTCCTGGATCACAGGCATGCAATCTAAAAGCACAAGCGAAAAGCGTTCCATCAGACAGTCTTTCTTAAGACTCCTGAGTCAGATCTGCAGAAGCACTATATTTTCCATTTAAGGATTAATCCCCTGAAAGCATGGCTTAGGACAATCTTACCTTACTTCTGATTATAATGTGTTTAGACGAAAAAGTTCCAGATTGCACTTCTTAAGCTGTTGCAAAAATCTGATTCTTGACTCTACAGACTCCTGCCGGAGACACACCCTACTCAGGAAGTGTGGAACGGTGTGTTTGGAAAGGGCTAGTTCCTGCATGCTTTCTTTAAGTCCACACCACATTTAGAGCACTTTCCTCCACGCAGACCACATCTTGGAAAGCACAGTATTGGAGCAGGAATTGAACTGCATTCATTTTCAAAATTCACTGATTTTCAAGGGCAGCTCCTCTTTCCTCTAGTTTTCTACATCGTGAACAAAACAATCACATTTACAAATGCTGCAGTCTTAGACTTTTCTTATGGGAAAAAGACACCAAAAATAGCTTTTGCTTTGGTTTGAAAATTCGAAGCTTTTCAAGCGACAAGCTCAAGGTTCTCCAATTAAATGAAATTCCAGACATTTCTGGGGGTATTCCCACAGCTTTATTCTATCAATATGTGGAGATGCCTGGGGAACAGGAGTGGGCAGATTACAGTATGTATTGGAGGACTCCTTGTTTCATCCTGTCTTTTCAGCAGTATCTGCACAGCTGTTTTGGGAAACTGTTCTGTTGTATTTGTCTTCACTCCCCCAGCTCTGTTTCTAAATTATAACTCTGTAATGTAAGGGCTTTACTGGTTGAACTGTAAAGCAGTAGGCTGTATTTATAAAACACTTCAAACGTTTTTGTGTGTGTGTGTATAAAACATGACATAACATTTTACCTGACTATTTTAACAGCAAAAGAACAAAAGGAGAAAAAACAAAAACGAGAACAAAAGAAGGAATTTTCTCCTGAAACGGGAGATTAAAACATTACGTCAGTTTGGCTAGGACAAAAACAAACATCCACATCTGTACAAGATCTAATCTAAAGCGGTATCTGACACAATAAAGGATTCTGCCCAGGGTGCACAGGAGAAGTGTTTCAGCAGTGTGTGTTGACAGAAATTTGTGTGTGCAGCTCCAGGCCTCAGACAAGCAGGAGAGTTGTGCATGAGGTCGCAGTGTCTCAACATGTCAGGAGCATGTCTCTTTTTTAGGACGCAGACCTGGGTAGTAAAATCGATTGGCGCCACATGAGCCTGTTTGTTGCACCGAGCTGGTGTAAGAGTTCAGTCTCACAACGTTGGGTGGCCGAAAACAAATAATAACATCACTGCCATTCAACGAGACCTGCCCCAACTCTTCCTTCATTCCCTCATCTGAGGGGAATATACCTGTGCTGATTTGAACTTAAGTTTCATACAGTATCTAGAATACCGATTTGTATCTATATACCCATTAATACTTCTAAACGATGTTGGGAACAAATGTTAGCCTCTCATAAGAATGACTCTTTGCTATTGTTTGTATTTAGTCCACATTTCATATAGTTGTGACTGACTGTGACTGAGCAGCACAGGTGAAACACTGTAGATTATAAATTGTCTGTTTAACTTGGCCAGTGCCAAAAGTTACTAAACAAATCATTAATGTCACCTGCCTTTAAAATGGGAGAAATAATGTAAATGTTCCTTTTAAGAGAAATACCTGTTTATCTAGTAAACTCTTAACAAGAGTTTAGGAAATACTGTTAATAAATTGGTCTTTCCATATTTTATTGCTATGCTTAATTTTGCCAAAACATGTTGTGCACCTTTGCAGAAACGCTTGGCATTTAAGTTAGATCTTAAGGTAGCAAAAAAATATACTGAACAACTGCAGATGTGCCTGTTTAGAAATGGCATAGCAGTGAGGCAGAACATCACCTGGGGCAAAAAACAATCCATTGAAAGGCTTCCCCAAACCACATCTCTTTCTCAGAATCGAACACGCCTTTGTTTATGAGTGTTATCTTTATATCTTGACTTAACAGACCAATTATGACTTGACTTAATATAACAACAGCACGCACCACCTACCTGGTTAATGGTCTTTTCCATCTGTACCAGGCCCAGATTGGGCAGAGTGGTTTTGATGAAATCCACAATGGCCTCCAGGTTGTCGTGTTGAAGGATGAGGGGCTTGTGGCTGCCCAGCAGGCTTAGCGCCACCTTGAAGATGACCTCCGCCCCCTGGAGGAAGAGCATATCTGCAGAGAACAAGACGGAGCTGTGGTCACGGCCCTGCCGCGGTGCCCAGCTTCACACAAACAGGCTGCCACGTGCTAACAATCCAGCTTTCTGTTGTGCTGCGCCTAATGAGCTCTTGCGAAGACAGCGACAATGAAAACAACATTCCTGCGGTATTAGCACAGAGTGAGAAAGAGGAATTCAAAGCGCCAAAGACTGAACACAAGAAGATGAGGCACACTGAACTGAATACAGAGCGACAACAGAAGTAGAAGGAAAAGGCTAACGGGTTATTCGTGCACAGAGAAAATGAAATGCACGGAGATGGATGAGGGAACATTTATTAGAGGGCAATGTGACCTAAACAAACATTTGTAAAAACCGACAAAGGAGACCTATAGAACAACAGAGCAAATGTATTTAGGTACATGGACGGCGTGCCACATTCCATCTAAACAAAGCGAACCATGGAGCAATTATTAACACACTGAATAGAGAGAGGCTCGAGAGTGACGAGAGGAATACTGCCTAAAGCACTCCCTCTCAACAGCCAACCCTGGTGACAAGAAACACAGCCTCATTTGGATTTAACTAGGCACTTTAAAGCTCTGTAAAGTTTTATAGAACGAATTAGTAAACAAGTGCTGCTGAAGATGGATGGATTTGACCCAGCTGGGACATCTTCTTTAGCAACTGTGAGATCTTGGCATCGTCGGTGTTCTCCGGTTGATGCTCAGTGGAAAGCAGATGGAAGTGCATTTAAAACCAAGAACAGGCTTCTTCAGTTCTTTAACCAGAGAGAATGGAACAAGCTTCCCAGCCGTACCCGGGTTTCTTTCAAGAAATTTCCTCAACTTGAATCAATTGGAGATCAACTTGGATCAATTAGAGATCACCCTGCAACTCAGAACTGGCAGCCCACTGGAGCTCAGCAGGTGTGAGCCTGGTCAGTACCTGCATGGGAGACCTCCTGGGAAAAACTAAGGTTTTTCCACTGGTAGTGGAACTAGAAGGGAGCGCTCCCCCTGTGGTCTGTGCGGGTCCTAATGGCCCAGTACAGTACACTGCAAAAAATGTCGTCGTCCTTCGGGTCAGACATAAAACTGAGGTCCCGACTTTCCGTGGTCATTAAAAATACCAGGGCATTTCTCAAAAAGAGTAGTGGTATTACGCCGGTGTCCTGGCCAAATTTCACCCTGGCCTTTACCAGTCATGGCCTCCTAATAATCCCCATCTATGAATTGGCTTCATCACTCTGCTCTCCTCCCCACTGAGAGCTGGTGTGTGGTGAGGAGTCACATCATCCCTGTGGGGCTTCACATTGGTGGTGAAGGCGAGTCCCCCCATAACTTTAAGGCGCTTTGAGTGGAGTCAAGAAAAGAACTACAGTACATAAGTGTGAGGAGTTATTATTATTATTATTATTATTATTATTAGGCCAAATGACCTGCTCTCCTTTGTGACCTTACTCTTATTCTTTTTTTTTTCTAGCACTACTGTGAGCACAGTAGGGCTTGCAGAGTGAAAAAGAGCACATTGCTCAACAATCTGGGGTGTGGCAGCTGTGGGGGAGATTGTCATGCGGCTGAATGGCGAAAAAAAAATGTTTTTCCAAATTTAAAAGCAAGTGAAATTCTGACGGTATAGAACTTCCTTATGATTAAAAAATTGTAGCCCGTCTTCCTTTTGGGCGAGCTGTCCTTGAAGTCCAATCTCTTGCTGATCAGTATTCAGCTAAATTAATTCTTTATAGTGTCTTCTGCACCGCCAGAGGCTGAACTTTTAACCCTGTGACCTACTTTTTAAAAGCTCTGAATTGTACAAGCTATCTGGAGTTGCCATGCCTCTAACTGAAGACTAAAAACACATCCTTCCTTGTTCAAGAGGAATGCAGTCAACAAAGGTCTATTGTCTAATTAGAAACAGCTCCAAAGTGTGATTTTCGACTCCCACAAATTGGAGAGATGCCAATGGGCTGGCACTGGCCAGCAGGATTAACACTGAGTGTGCCTGCCGGACAAAACGCAGGACAGGACCGAGCTGAAAGTGTTTCCATCACAAATCTGTTTTTGGGCTAAGACGCACAACAATGTTTTTCACCCTCTAGTCCTTTCGAGTTTTGGCAATACTAAGAAAAAAAGCCAACAAAAACAGTGTGAATGGGAGGTTAGCGAAATGTCTACATCAAAATCCTAAACAGTCCCTTTTAAAGACTGATTTCTTCTGTGACCACAACAGTCATCCCAGCTTTATTTACTCTATGCGCACACCCACCTGATGATGTTCACAGCTTTAGTGAAGCCCCAAACCACTATCAAGAGACTTTGACTTTAGCGTGAGCATTTCTGTATGCAGAGGCTAATACTGTATGGGAAGAGGATCTCTAAAACACTAGCACACAGGTGGAAGCCCTCTGACAAATTCATGTCACCTATTAAAGCTTCTGTCTGACTCTAACAACCACAGAGGATCGAATGACAGACATCTTCTGTTAAAAACTGTGCTCTGTGGCTTGCCTGCTTGTAATCCACACCATATTTATTGTGGTGGCTGCCCATGATCTGTCATGCACTGTAAATCTACTACAACGGATTTATACTTTGTCTTGCCATTCTGTCAGACCACTCTTGTTTAACAGCTCTTTCATAATTATCTGCAGGTTTGGAATCTGACAAATATCGGTGTCTGTAATCCATCGGTAATGTCTGTTGTGCACCATTCTCTGCAGCTGCTCCTCTTCCGATGGCTATATTCCATGCCGACCAACTGTTCCCTTTCATAAGCAGGTTTGGATGTCTTAAAACTGGCTGTTGGGGCATGTCAAGGAGAACCAAGCCATTTTCAAGACGATAAAAAAAAACCAACTCATTCAAAAGCAAAGAAACCCTTCTGCTGGATACGAATGAGAGGCCAATGAAGCAGCTTGAATGAGCGAATTATCAAGCGCTTCCTACTGACTAATGCTTCCTTGAGTTGCGTGCTGGGCACGTTTACAAGGAGCTGCACAAAACCGGGAAGACGATTTGGAGCTAAAAGCTTGAAAACAAAAAAAAACGACTTGTGACAAGGAGGCCGTAAAAGCCTTTCTTACCAAAGACCCTGGCCACGAAGCCCAGAGGGAACTGGGAGGCGAACATGGTGAGGAACCACGGGGCAGCGTACAGGCTAGGGCTGATCTCGTACTCCTCCAGGTGGTTGTACAGGTCTCGGTGGTAGTCATGAAGCAGGCGTGAGAGCTGGTACATCTGGATCTGGGGAGAAAGAAACCCGAGCTGTAGAGAGCACTGTTCCCACAAGGACTAACACAGCAGAGTGCAGAAAAGAAAAGGCACGGTGAAACTGACTGGAAGAGCAAGGCACAACATTCGGAGGGATACTAAATCATGGACACCAACCTGGAAACTGTGGAAAAGTCATCTTGTTGTTAAAGCTAAAGAAAACTGCACCGGCTAATTGCAATGGGACACAAAATCAAGCTTTTAAATCTTGTTTGGGAAAAACAAAAAGCTTTAGAACGCTCTTTCTTCATTTAAAACCTATTATTTCAAAAGGAAAACATTCATGGGATGTGTAGCACGGAAATAGGTGTTTTAGGGGCTAAAATCTGATGAACAAGCTCCAAGCAGTCAAACCACAAAAACAGTTATACAAATTAACCCCTGTGCCTGAAACAAAACAATAACCTGTGTACAATGGTAACATGTTACTAAATTGGAGTGAAAGAAATTATAAGGGAACAGAGTGAAGCTCAATTCAAGTGTACTGCCACGTACTCCGGTTTATGAAACCTCCGGAGAAAATAACAATGATAACATTTTCGACATGTATTTTTTTTAGGTAGGATACAAATGGCACTCCAGGAACTAGCGTCCTGCCACAGTGCAAAAAAAATAACTAAGAAGAAGCGTTTCCCGACAGCAGATATACTGTAAGTGGAGGCCGAACGCTGTACCCTGTACCTGCAGGATGATCATGTCGGGCCTGTACTGCTTCCTCAAGCCCATGTCGTACATGAGGAACTTCAGCATTTCGAAGGCATCGTCTTCGCTCATGTGGAGCAGCAGGACTCCGGCCACGAAGCTCAGCCCCTGGCAGTACCCCACCTCTGGGTCCAGCAGGGAGTACGCCTTCAGCAGGTTGTAGAGGGACAGCTGTCCAGCCCCCAGCTGGGCAGAGAAGTAAGGGTGTGTTGGGAAGGTACGACCTGCAGAAACGGAGGGAGCGCTCAGGAACACAGACTAATCTCACCACGGCCTCTATTTACCCTAAGGCTTGGTCAGCATTTGTGTTTATTTACACAGTCTTGAGGAAAAGTCACTTTTCATACCGTTTGTAATTCACTGCAGTTACACATTACTTCTCAACAAAAGCTGAGACCACGCTGGCCTACTAATCCTCAGCACCATTCAGCCTCTTGTGAGACGCTGGCTAAGCTGCTGAATAAGCCACTGTTCATCTATTGATGTGACCCAGGCTTGAACTTGCGATGCCTGGGTTATAGATCTCAACCTGCTCTGAGCAAGCACTGTTAGTGGCTGAGACATTGGGAGATGGAGCTCGGGAGAAGTCCTGATACTTTAGTTCTGCTGTATCTTGCTCCTGTTCCACAGGCTACTGCTCTCAGTCAGAATGTGATGAAATTTGAAGACAGCATGATAACATTTTCGGTCAGGAATGTAACCTGTTTTTGCGGTTTTGTCTAGCAAATATCTATCTTAATCAGCATTTCGTGCTCTTGTATTAAGAGTTATGTTTGATACCCATAATAGAAACATAAAATAACACACAATTTTCCTTTCAGAAGGAAAAACTGGAAAGTTAAGCTCTGCCTTCATATATGCTGTATTTCTTTAGACACAAACTTTTGTGGAGTACAAGCAGGCACCAAATATCAACCAAAGACGTTATTTTCTTTGGAGGCGCATTTCATTCTTTTTTCAAGAACCACATGCGATAAAAATCAAAAGCATTTAAATTCACAGAAAGTAATCATTTTTTTTCCCAAAAGCATTCTTAAAATTCTTTCCGACGTCACAGAACTGAGCAGCGACGCTCGGAGAGATGCTACAACAGCTGCAGGAAGAGAAAAGACCTCTTCTCGGAAGGTCGCAGGTAGACAGCAATACTCAAGACATCTTTCACACAATCCCCCCACTGCATGCCTGGCCTCTAAATCAACCCTTACACCTCCCACCTGTCAGAAACTTCCCCTCTGTAACAGCAGTCGGATGAGAAAAAGAGCCAAAAGATTCGGATATATAAATAAGCACTTCATATTGAAGACTACAGGGAGTACACATACAGCTTTCGCAAACAATGATAAAATCTCATGACTGAGGAATAACAGGCAGAAGAATGATTAAAAGAGCAGATTTCGACACCAAGTTATCAAGTTTCTGTATGTAGCACTACAGTCACAGACATAATATTCATAGCAGATGAACAGCAGTTAAAAAGGACTAGTAGCAGTAGGAAGAATAAGGAAAAGAATACTCCATTTATCCCCCCAACGAAGTGCAGCCACCATTTGGGTAAATTCCAGCTGTTCTTGTACACCAGGCACCCTAACTGCACAGCAAAACGTTATGTGGAACTGGACTGAACACTCTAAAGACGATTTATAATGTGTAAGTGAGAGCTCTAGTCTTTTGTAATGGGTGCACCAAACCAAGCACTGCAGATAAAAAGCTCTCACAGGCCAGACCGACTGTCTCTCTGCAGTCTTATCTAGAGATAAGGAGAGGGGAGTTTGAAACTAGACAAAAGTGTTCCCTGGTGCTTATTTTACTGTGCATGACAAGAATCATTGCGGATATCTGATAAATGGCCTGTACAGAGCGACAGCAAAGAGTCTGGCAACTAATTTTAGCAAAATCTGGGTGGTCAGTATAGAACACAAAACAATACAACATTTACCCTCCAAGCAAAACCCATACACACCTTCAGTGACACACCCTCTGTTTCCACCAAAGAGCTCCTAAAATAAAGGGAGGTGGCTATAATTAAAGTACCACGCTCTAGGGATCTGACTGCACCAGCAGCGTGCTTTCATGTTTATTATGGAGATACGAGTTTGAAGAGAACTGAGAAGACAGCCCATCTGCTTAAGTCAGTGTCTACCCGTTTTAAAAATGTTATTAAAGTTCCTGGCTGAGATGGCAAGCACCAAGGTAGCAGAAATGTTTCACTGGCATCAACTTCAGTGTTGGCAAACGTGCAGGAATGCAGGCTTGGACATATTCATTCTGAAATCATCAAGACGGGGATGAGGAGACCAACTGCTTATGACACAAAGTAACGTTCGGAGTATTGATTACAGCAATAGGGATATGAATATGTTTTAGTAAGTTTATAGTTGTGGTTCTGGCAAAAACTGGCAGAGACAAAAAACACGGGCTGAGTCCCCCTAGAAATAGCACATCTTCTGACACAACCATTTTTTTTTTACTTGTTTTACATTTTCTCACAGCATATACGCAGAGCACCACAAGCCTGCCATGGCCAGGCCAGTCCCAAGCCCTCACTGAGCCAGCCCAGATCACCCCCCAGTGCTACCCAGGCCCCCTGAGCTCTCTCCTCGCGCACGGCTCGTGCACCTCAACCAGAACATCACTCCTGAGCCCCGCTCCGGCCAATGCGTCTGAGAAGAACTGAAAATCACAGGGCATACAGATGGGACTGCATGCACGGGACTGGAAGGGAGGAGGAAATGTACCTCCTACACGAGATGCAGAGAATGGCTAGAGATCCACCTGCCCCAAGCTGATTGTATGACTTCTTCACTCTGCATGTCCACACATTTCAAGAGGTGCTTTATGACCAAAACCCTGTGATCATTCTGGCACTGAACCTGAACTTGACTTCAAACCTGGGGGGGAAAAAAAGCCAGAAGAGAAGACAAAACGTTCCAGGGGAACGGTGCTCAGGGCTGGGCGGCTCTGCCCTACCCAGATCGATGAGTATGGCGTGCTGCTGGGAGGTGAGCTGCTTCAGGAGCTCCTTGTAGGGGGTGCCCTTGGGTGGGAACTGGTTGGGTACCAGGTGGGCCAGCTGGTATTGCTCCGCCAGAAACTTCCAGATTTCCCCACGGTGATGGCGGGGGACCCCTGTGGGAGACAAGGCAAGGAGAGATCTGATCCCAGCTCCTCTGAGCACCGAGCAGCGGATAACCAGCCACTCGCCAACAGCCCACAGACACCCGATTATTCCGAATGAGGCCCCACTTCTCTGTAACAGTCCGTAAAGATACACCTACAGCATTTCACAAGTATCTCACATCAGTGTAACAGAATCGTTCTCTAATTCTCCTTATGACTCCTTTTGACCTTTTGATTCCCTGTAAATATCTGGGGTATTACTGCATCAACAGTTGTTTTATTTGTTCTCCAGTTTCATACAACGTTAACCTTCCTCCTTTGCACGATTCCTAGAAGCCAGCGTTGGGAAGCCTCTTTTACTCTTTAGAAGAAAGGGGAAAAGGATCAAATGTTTTCAAAAGAAAAAATGTTCACTTGGCAGGTATTTCTCCCGTGTTTAAAATATAATAACCTTGAATTTATTGAGCATTTGAATAAAAAATACCAACATTAAAACCACTAATTTGTGCTAGTAACAGATTATATATACACAAATAAAGCTAGTGGCCCAAGAGAAACTGGCCATGTCAGGGCGTCTCACAATTTACTCCTGTGGCGACAAAATACTTTCTTCAAAATGGGGGGGGGCTCCTGTATTCTTTTATGAATGAGAAACGAAACATATTTAAACAGAATTTCCTAATCACAAACCGATAGTGATGATGGCTAAATTGAGCGATTCAAACAGACCACTTCTGGAATAGGGCCAGTTCTGTGCAAGTCATGACCTACGTGAGGAGGAGCAGAAAGACTTTGACTTCTGTATCGAGATTAATCCCGTTGGTAATATTGTTCCAGCAGTAACGGGAAATGAGTGATGAGGACCAGGTAAACTAGGCCACGAAGCCCTCGCCTTGTTCCGTGTCTGCACTGTGGAGGCCTGAGTGCCAGCCGCCTGAGGGAGCCGAGCATGGGTGTGAACAGGAAGGTCGACACGGACCGTGTGCTGGTGACGCCAGGTCTAGCAGACGCCCAGCCCGGCAACAAGGGGTCCCATGACAGCTTCACGGCAACTGCCCATCTGCTGACCTCACCACACCCTCCAACACCTCCCCCCCAACCATGACGGTACTCCACCCTCTGCTGGCTGATTGCTTTTGGAGCAGAAGAGACTTGTGTAAGCTGAGCTCCGGAGAAGATCTGAAAGATATGGTTACTTCGTATACAAGTGTAAACAGTCTGAGGTGGGGCTTCCCGAACCCAGACTTAATTGCAAGACAAAGTGACCTCCGGTTGTCATTTCTGCTGAACTCTGGGCACTTCCCTGAACTGAGGTAAATAATGGGAAATCAGACCCCTCAGCTCTCGAAACAAAGTGCTAAATAGCCTTTTTGTAAATTTATTATATTGGCCTCGAAGATCAAGTTCAGTGCTGACAGCATTGTTTGAAATCGCCTTGTTCTATACAAACTCCATTTGACTTATCAAAGCTTTTTATTATTAACAATTTTACCAAGTTAATTTGAGGAAAAAAACATTATAAACTTGTTAAGAATTCTAATCTGTTGTTTTTACACAGTACAAGATAGGATGATTTGGGTTTTAGCTACGTGCTCAGTGTAACTTTGCACAGCTCCAGATCCTCACAAGCACACTGAAGCCCTCTCATTTAATTATTTGGTGGACACATTTATCCAAAGTGTCAGACTTTAGACAGCTGGTTGTCAGACTGGAGCTATTCAGGTGAAGCACCTCAAGGGTACAACAGCTGTGACTCCCCTAGGATTCGAACCCGCAACCTTCCAGTTACCCCTCCAGAAAACTAACCACTGCAAGTAACATTAATCACCCTATATGTATTTGAGACCCAATAAGCAAAATAGGGAAATTCATTACCGTGAAGGAGACAACACAATGATCAAATAATTACATAATAGGTTTAATTAACAAAAAAATCTACAGAATTTCTTAATCCTAATACTGGGGGACAATTTCACAGAGCAACAAGTTGATTTTTCACCAGCAGCCATATCACCCTGCAACTCACAACTGGCAACCCACTGAAGCTAAGC